TGTTTGCATTTGTGAATTGGGTTTAAAGATGTGTATTTCAGAGGCTCACAAAGGCCCCTGGCTCCAGGAGCTGCTACAGTCATTGATGTGCTGCAACAACGAAGGACTGTATGTGCCCATTTAGGTGAAACTGGTTTCTAGTAATTGACGGACAATGAAGAGAGATCAGAAGACAGTCTCATGAGAGAGAAGGTCTAGAAAGCAAGTGCAAACGGGGTGACCTATATCCCCAGGATATAGGTGTGTGTGTGTGTGTATTTGTGTGCGACAAATGGACAAGCCATCATTGGCTCCCTCAGCCCTGTAATAGTATTCATGAAACACAAACTCTCTCTCTCTCTCTCTCTCTCTCTCTCTCTCTCTCTCTCTCTCTCTCTCTCTCTCTCTCTCTCTCTCTCTCTCTCTCTCTCTCTCTCTCTCTCTCTCTCTCTCTCTCTCTCTCACACACACAAACACACACACGGTCAGAGGCCCATTACTAGAGCAAACAAACAGACACACACACACACACCACACACACACACACACACACACACACACACACACACACAGACACACACACACACACACCCTTCGCCGTAAACCTATGAGATAAACAGTTAAAACCTTTAGAAATGCAGGCCCCTGACTGCCCCTAAGTCGTACATTATAGGCATACATGTTAAAATATAATTTTCAAATAAACATGAACGTAATAAATCTCAACGACAATATGTAATTATGATTTGTGGTTCATGAATACTAATAAATGTCTGTATCAAATAATGTGTGGGCTCTGCAAAAACAAGGGACTTTTCTATACCCATTCAAATAAAGTGATGAAGTATGACTGAGTTTATGAGCTTTATGAGTGGAACTCATTATTGAATATACTAGAATCAAACTCTTGAGCTTCCATGGTTCCTTAAGTATTCATCTCGCATAGTATATTGCAAAGTATGTTGTATGAATTTAAATGTATTTTTCCAAAAAGTGTTCACTTTCTTGTGTTTTCAGGAATTGTATATATTTATATATCTTAATATTCACAAATGTATATATGATATGTGTGTTTTCAGGACTCATATGTATATATACAGTGGGGAAAAAAAGTATTTAGTCAGCCACCAATTGTGCAAGTTCCCCCACTTAAAAAGATGAGAGAGGCCTGTACTTTTCATCATAGGTACACGTCAACTATGACAGACAAAATGAGGAAAAAAAAATCCAGAAAATCACATTGTAGGATTTTTAATGAATTTATTTGCAAATTATGGTGGAAAATAAGTATTTGGTCAATAACAAACGTTTCTCAATACTTTGTTATATACCCTTTGTTGGCAATGACACAGGTCAAACGTTTTCTGTAAGTCTTCACAAGGTTTTCACACACTGTTGCTGGTATTTTGGCCCATTCCTCCATGCAGATCTCCTCTAGAGCAGTGATGTTTTGGGGCTGTCGCTGGGCAACACGGACTTTCAACTCCCTCCAAAGATTTTCTATGGGGTTGAGATCTGGAGACTGGCTAGGCCACTCCAGGACCTTGAAATGCTTCTTACGAAGCCACTCCTTCGTTGCCCGGGCGGTGTGTTTGGGATCATTGTAATGCTGAAAGACCCAGCCACGTTTCATCTTCAATGCCCTTGCTGATGGAAGGAAGTTTTCACTCAAAATCTCACGATACATGGCCCCATTCATTCTTTCCTTTACGCGGATCAGTCGTCCTGGTCCCTTTGCAGAAAAACAGCCCCAAAGCATGATGTTTCCACCCCAATGCTTCACAGTAGGTATGGTGTTCTTTGGATGCAACTCAGCATTCTTTGTCCTCCAAACACGACGAGTTGAGTTTTTACCAAAAAGTTATATTTTGGTTTCATCTGACCATATGAAATTCTCCCAATCCTCTTCTGGATCATCCAAATGCACTCTAGCAAACTTCAGACGGGCCTGGACATGTACTGGCTTAAGCAGGGGGACACGTCTAGCACTGCAGGATTTGAGTCCCTGGCGGCGTAGTGTGTTACTGATGGTAGGCTTTGTTACTTTGGTCCCAGCTCTCTGCAGGTCATTCACTGTGTGGTTCTGGGATTTTTGCCCACCGTTCTTGTGATCATTTTGACCCAACGGGGTGAGATCTTGCGTGGAGCCCCAGATCGAGGGAGATTATCAGTGGTCTTGTATGTCTTCCATTTCCTAATAATTGCTCCCACAGTTGATTTCTTCAAACCAAGCTGCTTACCTATTGCAGATTCAGTCTTCCCAGCCTGGTGCAGGTCTACAATTTTGTTTCTGGTGTCCTTTGACAGCTCTTTGGTCTTGGCCATAGTGGAGTTTGGAGTGTGACTGTTTGAGGTTGTGGACAGGTGTCTTTTATACTGATAACAAGTTCAAACAGGTGCCATTAATACAGGTAACGAGTGGAGGACAGAGGAGCCTCTTAAAGAAGAAGTTACAGGTCTGTGAGAGCCAGAAATCTTGCTTGTTTGTAGGTGACCAAATACTTATTTTCCACCATAATTTTCAAATAAATTCATTAAAAATCCTACAATGTGATTTTCTGGATTTTCTTTTCTCAATTTGTCTGTCATAGTTGACGTGTACCTATGATGAAAATGACAGGCCTCTCTCATCTTTTTAAGTGGGAGAACTTGCACAATTGGTGGCTGACTAAATACATTCCCTTATGGCTTCCATTGCACTAGCAATGTATCAGGATTTAAATGGTAGGAAAAACAGAAATGGACGTACAGCAATGTGACAGACTGGTGGTGTACAGAAAGGATGTGAGCATCATCATTTATGCCCATATGTATTCTGCTGAGAGTGGATACCTATGTAATATTACTTTATCTATATTATTATTATTCATTAGCATATTTCCATGATTTGTCTTTCTTTTTATGGCCTTTTTTTGTATTATTTTTATTTTATTTGCCCAACCATGATGAGTGAGTAGGTAGAGTAGCATAATTGTGTGCTGTTTGAAAATATGTGCAGTAAGAAGAAGTGATGCTCACTCACTATCAGTGCTCCCAACACACCTCATTGCAGACAACCCTTCAATCCCCCTGGTATATAAGTCGAGACATTCTGTCTACCTTAAAGTGGTATCAGGAGCATTGATAGTATGAAAGATGTATTTACAGTCTTGTCTTTCTCTGCCAAACCTCTCACAAAAAACTAACTGAGACCAAACTGAAAAAATAGGGATCCTTCTTTTTATTGATTTTTTTGTTGCTGTTTCGCATGTAAAGTACAGTGCTTCATTCCATTTTTCACTTATTCAAATAATGAAATTGGAGAGAAATCTATTTTTCCTAGGACACAGAAAGAATGTTGTATTTTTTCAACAGGGTGTTGGGGGGAGTGAGGGGGAACGTTTACAAGGTCAGGGGAGGTCGCACGGTTCTCACAGACAAGTAGCTATCAGACCCACTCCTAGCATAAAAAAAGAAACCCAGAAATGTTACGAACAATCGTTTAAAAAACACTCAGTCTTCTAATATAAAACAACAACAACATTGGCAGAAGACAGGAGGGGGAAGGAGGGGAGGGGAACACAGGCAGGAAAGAGGAGGGACATGTTTTCCCCCTGTAGAGGGCGTGAGTGAGTATTCCACGTTTACTGGAGTGGTGGGAGTGGCTGGAGGGGAATGTTAATTGGTGGAGGGAGTGAGAGTGTCAAGAGGGGACGGCGGGGTAGAACGGGTAACAACGACGCCACAACGCTCGCCGTGGGATCTAGATGCAGCTGCCATTTTGTTGTTGATAGAGAAGAGTTACACCGGTAGTTTGTACATTACAGTGTATTAGCACATTTATGAACAGTCTTATAACAGTACAGTAAACATTAGAACAGTATTGGCAGTATTGACTATGCTGTAGTCTTTGGGTAGAAAAAAAGGCAGCGAGACGGAGAGGGGCACAGGGATCTGGTGTGATCGTCCTGTTCCTCTCCTCCTCTGTGGTTGGTCCTCAAGGCGATGTTGGAAGAAAATACACGATGGGGAACGGAGGAGTTTTCAGATGCGGTTTCTTGTATGGTTGGTATGTGATTAGAGGGATGGGTGGCAGTAGGGAAGAGAGAAGGAGGGGAATGAATTTAGGGGAGGAATGGGGAGTAAAGAATGCTTTGATCATTTAATAGTATGTCTCTTTTTCCACCCATCCTGGAGAGAAGGGGAAGAGAAAAGAAAGGGAAGAGAGAGATTTTAAATTAAAATAACAAACATTTCTATCAAAGGAAACTTGAATTCACCTAAGATGGTTTAGTGCAGGGCTCTCCAACCCTGTTCCTGGACAGCTACCGTCCAGTAGGTTTTCGCTCCAACCCTAATCTAGCACACCCGATTCTAATAATTAGTTAGTTGATAAACTGAATCCGGTTAGTTACAACTGGGGTTGGAGCGAAAACCTACAGGAGGGTAGCTCTCCAGGAACAGGGTTGGAGAACCCTGGTTTAGTGTATGCTAACGTGCATGTCTGTTCTACATGTTTGTATGTGAGTTTGTGTGGGTTTGTGCATGTAGGATTTTGTAGCATGATGCACAACAGTACCCACAATGCTCTGTAAAAACATCCGGTTCTATCTTAGTAAATGTTATTATGCGTACTGTAGTACATTATGCTACAGATTTGTGTGAGTACAGTAAGTGTGTTCGTGAGAGAGTAGTACCTCCGGGGTTCCGGCGCAGGATGAGTTTTCGGATCTCATCGTAAACAAAGATGAGGAAACTGTACGGGAATGCACAGAACCACCAGCTGGGCCTGAGAGAGAAAGAGAGAGAAAGAGATGGATGGAGAGAACAAGGAAGACAAATAAATGTTTTAGTTACAGCCAGGGTGCCATTCAGTAGAATGAATAATTGTGCTTAAAGAGGAAATCATTTTTTCAATTCATAGATTGAAATTGTCTCCAGTCCACACGGTGGTACTTTACTGTCAAGTAACTGCCATATAAACGTCACTCAGTAGAGGGTACTGTTGCTATGTGTGAATGAGGACAGAGAGGCTGGAGTACTCACTTGAGGGGGTACATCCTGAGAGCCACGTCCATGCCTGGGGTGTAGGACAGGAAGGCAGCCAGGGCCGTCTCCTCAAACAGCCCAAAGATCAGGATCTTATTCCTGTAAACAAACAAATAATGAATCTCAACATTTATCCTAGCTATGAGAGACATAAATTAGAGGGGCTTCATAACCCTATAAAACACATGATTAATCTAAATACAGAAAATAAGATGTCTGTTATTTAGTCATGCTAAGGTCTGTGTCATTAGATGACAGATGCAAAGATAAAGGGTTCTGACCTCATGCCCTGCTGGAATACAGAATTGCGCCTGGTCTTGCAGATGATGACATCAGCCCACTGTACCACCACAATACTGACGAAGAAGGCTGTGTGACAGGTGTACTCCACTATCTTCCTCTGTTCATAAGTCTGGCATGGGAGGGAGAGAAAATCACAAGGACAGAGAGTTAAAGAGTGAATGAGAGTAGAGGTAGAGACGACTAAGTGGAAAGTGGTGGTGATGACTAAGTGGAAAGTTGTGGTGATGACTAAGTGGAAAGTTGTGGTGATGACTAAGTGGAAAGTTGCGGTGATGCCAGAGAGCAATTCATTTAATAAGACTAATAAGGACTGGATGAAAGAAAATAAGATGAAAGAGTGGTCAAAAAAATAAATGTTATAGTGAGTAAAGCTGAGAGAGCTAATGAAAAAGAGAGAAAGAAAGAAAGAAAAAAAAAAGAAAAAAAAGGAAGAAAGGCTGTCTAGCATACCCATTGCTGTCCGTAGCTGTCCTCTAGGTCGTTGTTCGAGCGGTCATCCCAGTTTAGCCTGATGCCCACCAATAAAGAGGGAAGGAAAACCGTTCTCCGCCAGGATCACAAAGTAGGAGAAGAACCCTCCCAGAGCCTGTATCATCCCTACCGAGACAGAGAGAGGAGAGGAAGAGGTGTTAGCTTTATCTACTACGCTAATAGAATTAGAATTAGAATTAGGCCGGGAGTCAATCCAACGCAGACTAAGGACCTGAACACAGAGATAGACTTTTAAAAGACCCACCAATCTGTCCGTAGGCAATACTGATCAGCCTCTCGTTTACCAGTTTGTCCCTGGCTGGGTTTCTGGGCTGTCTCTTCATGATGTCACTCTCTGCTGCCTCGTAGGCCAGGGAGATAGCTGGCACCTGTAGACATACATTAAGGTTAAGGGAAGACAGTGGATATCAATACACTGCCTCTCTTTGTGGTGCAAAGGACAACAGACCAAACGATTCGACCAGGACGACTGACCTTCGATTCAAATTGTATTTTTAATCTTCATAGTGTATACATTTAACAAACTACAATTTGCCTGTGTGTGTGCATGTGCCATGCATGTGTGGGTGTGTGTATCTCACCATGTCGGTTCCCAGGTCGATACAGAGGATGGTGATGGTTCCTAGGGGCAGTGGGATGTTGACCAGGATGAAGAAGAGGAAAGGGGTGATCTCAGGGATGTTACTGGTCAGGGTGTAGGCAATGGACTTCTTCAGGTTGTCAAAGATCAGACGGCCTGGAGGGACACAAGAGTAAAGGCTTGTATAGGCTACACCAGGACAACATCATTATATATTTTATTTTCAAACAATGGGCTCATATTACAGATAAGTTATCTTTCTAACTGTCACTTTTCTTTTGTCTCCAAATATTCCATTACCCCTCTTTTCTCATCTCCTTCCTCTCCTCTCGCTGACCTTTTTTACTCTCGCCATCCTACCCATCATTCATACCAACCTCTTTCTCTCATTAATTTCTTCCTCCCTAGGAGCCTACAGATGTAGGATCTTAATTTGAGCCAGTTTGATACAGCAGGAAAATAATCCTGCAGTAACAGGAAATGTGAATTATTATGTGGATTATAATTAATGGACATTTTTTTTATTGGATTACATTTCAAAGTGAAAATTACAAACTTCAGAAGCCTTTTTAAATCTTAAATACACTAAAAGTGTTACATCTCCTGCAACAGGGTGATCAAATTAAGATCCTACATCTGTATACCTCTTTCCCGCCTACCTTTTTTCCTCCCTGCTAATATCCCTCTTTTACCCTCCCTCCTTCTCTTCTTCCCTCCCTCTCTCTCTCACCCTCTTCCACTCCGGTGACGATAGAGGCAAAGTTGTCGTCCAGCAGGATCATGTCAGCGGCTTGTTTGGACACATCTGAGCCGGAGATCCCCATGGCGACACCGATGTCAGCCTTCTTCAGGGCGGGAGAGTCGTTCACACCATCACCAGTCACAGCCACAATGGCACCCTGAGAGACAGGGAGGAGAGGGGGGTTAGTGAATATTGTGAAAAGCCTCCTCTTTATCTACTACTGTATGATAGAATATGTAGGAAGTGTGTGTGTGTGTGTGTGTGTGTGCGTGTGTGTGCACCTCACCTGTCTCTGGCAGCCCTCCACGATGATGAGTTTCTGCTGGGGGGAGGTCCTGGCGAACACAATCTCAGTGTGGTTCCTCAGAATGTCATCCATCTGGTCCTGAGACAGGTCCTTCAGGTCTGTCCCGTGGATCACACATGCCTTGGCATCCCTGGAACACACACACACACAGGAAGAGAGTGAGTGAGAGTATGTTTGCTATCGCTGATACACACACACAGAAATGCAGAAAGTTAGTGTTTTTGGTGAATAAGTGTATTCAAGCATTTGGGTGTGACTGACTGACTGACTGAGTATCTGAGTGACTGAGTGACTAACTGACTGACTGAGTATCTGAATGACTGACTGAGTATCTGAGTGACTGACTGACTGAGTATCTGAGTGACTGAGTGACTGAGTGACTAACTGAGTATCTGAGTGACTGACTGAGTATCTGAGTGACAGACTCAGTATCTGAGTGACTGAGTGACTGACTGAGTATCTGAATGACTGACTGAGTATCTGAGTGACTGAGTGACTGACTGAGTGACTGAGTGACTGACTGAGTATATTACACACTCCTTCCTCATATCTCTTACCTGGGGTTGACCTGGCTGATGGGGATATTGAGGCGAGAGGCGATGTCCTCCACTGTCTCATTGCCCTCAGAGATGATGCCCACACCCTTAGCAATAGCCTTGGCTGTGATTGGATGATCGCCGGTCACCATGATGACTTTGATGCCAGCGGAGCGACATTTGCCCACAGCGTCGGGCACGGCGGCACGGGGAGGGTCAATCATGGACATGAGGCCCACGAAGCACAGGTTCTCTGTGGTGAAGTTGACATCGTCACAGTCGAAGGCAAAGCCCTTGGGGTACTGGTCCTCGGGCATTAGCTGGTGGCAGAAACCTGGGGAGGTATTATATTGTTATTATTATTAGTATTAGTGTGCGTTCTGAAAGGCCTCTTTAGGTTCCCATTTCTTCCTCTCTTCCCTCTTCTCATCCATCCCTCCCTCTCTCTCTCACCAAGTACTCTCTCTCCTAGTCCTCCCAGCTCCGTGTAAGCGTTCTGGAACTCTCTCTTTTCCCCGGGACTTCCTCCCTCCTCCCCCCTCTGTCCTCTCTCCCTCTCCCCTGCTGTCTCACCGAGTACTCTCTCTCCCAGTCCTCCCAGCTCCATGTAGGCATTCTGGAAGGCCTCCTTCATCTCCTCGTCCATAGGCTGATCCTTGCCCTGGATCAAGATGGTGGAGCAGCGGTCCAGGATCCTCTCTGGCGCTCCCTTCATCACCAGCAGGTAGCGGTTGTCGTTCTCATCCTCTGTCTCATGCACAGAGAGCTGTTGGTTGGCGGTGGGGGGAGGCGGGGGGGAGGAGCACAATCAAACACTTGTGTTCAGCCTCTTATTCAAACTCCTTATACAAACCCTTGTTTTCCCTAACCATAGCTTCATATCCACACTCCGGCTAAACCCTAACCAAGACTACTGTCCCTGTTATGTCTGCAAAGCACATGCTTAGGTAAAATGGTAAAACATTGGGGTCTCTTTTGTTTGACCCTGGCTAAGTTCAGGACAGGGTTACTAATCATTATTTTTCTATGGTTCAGGATCTATAGATATGTTAACGACAATCTTATACTAAAGCAGACCCAGGTCATACCCACCTCTAGACCTGTTTTGCCTTTTATAACACAATGAATAAGATCACATGGATAGGTGGGATCTGATCCTAGATCAGCACTCCTACTCTGAGATGTTTGATACCTACGGGAGGATCCAGGGTGTGCACTTGTTCTCCATATTGTTCACTCACCTGGTACTTGTTGGTGGAATTGAAGGGGATCTCGGCCACCTTCTTGTTCTTCTCCCTCATCTGTTTGACGCTGCCGCAGGACAGCTCGATACATTTCAGCAGCGCTGACTCGGAGGCGTCACCCGCCACATCCCTCTTCAGGATGGGCAGCTGGTCCTGAGCTGCTTTGAACTGCGCCCGGTTACACAGGGCCGCCACGCGCGCCAGCGCCAACCACGTCTCCGAGCTCTTGTCGAAGGAGGCGCCTGGGGAGAAGAGAGGGAGGGAGAATTGTTAGTGACAGACACATGGTTGTTGCATTCATGTGCCCTCAGGCAGCCCTGAAGCGTTTATCAAGGCCTGCATAAGTAAATGTACTATCATTCAAAATGCAAACAAGACGTTTGCTACAAGACGTTACAAACAACATTTTTGATGGCCTAATTATTCATTAACACAGTGCTCTGAAACTTCTGTCTCGGGTGCCACATCAGGCCTGCAAGCCACATTATGCTGGTTTGCAAAATTATATCTAATTCCAGTCAGTTCCAAAGAAGGAACAATCAATATACAAGGCTATCTAAATCACATAAACTGATGCAACCATCTTAATAACTGTGATCACAATATGCAAACCCAATATAGTTCCTTTGATATTATATATATTAAGAACATAAATGAGTTCAGTGAACTTAAACCCCTCTCCCTTACCAGACTGGTCCTCAGTGGTGTCGGCCTCGTGGATCTGGTTGTCGAACCACATGTGGGCCACAGTCATCCTGTTCTGGGTCAGGGTGCCAGTCTTGTCAGAGCAGATGGTGGAGGTGGAGCCCAAGGTCTCCACAGCCTCAAGGTTCTTCACCAGGCAGTTCTTACGAGCCATACGCTTAGCGGTCAGGGTCAGACACACCTGAGAGAGAGAGAGAGAGAGAGAGAGAGAGAGAAGATCAGATAGAGAGATGAGGGAGAGAGAGAGAGAGAGAGAGAGAAGAGAGAGAAGAGAGTAGAGAGGGATGAGAGATGGAAGAGACAGCGAGACCACTCTAGGAGAAGAGGCAGGAGATAGCTAGGACTGCTCAGAGAGAGATCTCTTCCTCTCCTCGGCTTTCTCTCGAGCTCGCTGCGCCACCGCCCCGCTCCGTCTCCTCGCCATCCCCCCCGCCTCTCGCGAGAGCGCCCCCAGGATTGTAAGAAGACAGGGTGACAGAAAGTAGGAGAGAGAGAATTGGGGAGAATAAAATAAAAGATGAGTACCAAGTCATAAAAGTAAAAACACGGGGTGCACAACTCCAGGTGTAGATGCCCTAGACCCTCAAACCAATCAACAACTTACTTGCATCTACAGATAAGAAACCCATGACAAACCGATACCAATACAACTACACACCTACCCTTGAGAGTTGTGTGAACCCCCGTCAGTCCACATTCCCCGCCCCCCACTACATTAAAATGCACTAGAGTCAAATGAAATACTAAAGTATATTTCACAGCCCAGAGGTGCAATGCAGAAAGATAGAAAGAAATAGTAGGCAAGCCAAGCACAGAGTAAAAGCAGTGAAAGGTGGGCGCCGGTGTATCATGCTACTTTCAAAATGGCGGAACATATCATGACTCATACAGGCTACTAGCCAAGCAGCGAGAGAGGCAACAGCCCAGCATTAACATTAACATTAGCCTAGCATATATCAGTCTCGCTTAACAGTTGTCATAGAAGACAACTGACCAGGGGGTGTCACTGACACTGAATGACCCAGGCGCAGAGAGAGCCTGAAAAAGAGACACAGACACAAAGAGGGAAAGAAGAGAAAAAAGAGAAAGCCTGAAAAAGAGACACAGAGAGGGAAGGAGAGAGGGAAGGAGAGAAAAAGGGAGAGATACAGGTACACAAAACACAACGGGCTGCCTTTTATGGAGAGAAAGAGAAAAAGAGAGAGATACACTAACAGAGATACGATACACCACCACAACCATCACAGAAGACACATAGATACAAACGCATGAGACTCTATTACAGATAAAGAGATGCATAACTACACAATGATACCGGGACACAGTGAAATACTAACCCAGAGATAGAACACACAGAGTAAGAGAGAATGACAGACAGACACGGAAGTACAAAAACACGAGACACCAACACAGAGGAAAGAGACACAGAGACACAGAGACCAACATAGCAGAGGAACACACAGCAGACAGAGATAGGTATCTCTGTTAGGTCTCCTGTAGCTCAGTTGGTAGAGCATGGCGCTTGCAACGCCAGGGTTGTGGGTTCGTTTCCCACGGGGGGCCAGTATGACAAATGTATGCACTCACTAACTGTAAGTCGCTCTGGATAAGAGCGTCTGCTAAATGACTAAAATGTATTGTAAATGCAGACACAGAAAAACAACTACACTCATATCACCAGTCACACACACACACACACACCCCTCTCCTCACTACCTCCAACTACCCCTTCTAACCCCACCCCACATCACACAACACAAAAATCCACCAAAATATCCCCTCACAGTGACAGTAGCCAGCAGGCCCTCGGGCACGTTGGCCACGATGATGCCGATGAGGAAGATGACAGCCTCCAGCCAGCTGTAGCCCAGGCAGACGGCCAGGATGAAGAAGGTGATGCCCAGGAACACGGCCACGCCTGTGATCAGGTGGATGAAGTGCTCGATTTCCTTGGCAATGGGGGTCTTGCCCGACTCCAGGCCGGAGGTGAGGGTGGCGATACGGCCCATGACGGTACGGTCGCCGGTGCACACCACGATGCCACGCGCCGTGCCTGGTGATGGTGAGGAGGAGAGAAGGAAGTTAGATGACTTGACTTACATGTTACAGTATATTAGATTTGTAATATAATTTGTGGTATCATGTTGCGTAAAATGATGTTGAGTTACCCCCATACACTGAGTTTGAGTGCAAATCATATGTTTTTTTGTGTGTAATTTTTCCCCCCTTTTTTCTCCCCAATTTCGTGATTACGATCTTGTCTCATCGCTGCAACTCCCCAACGGGCTCGGGAGAGGCGAAGGTCGAAACATGACCCGCCAAGCCACGCTTCTTAACACCCACTCGCTTAACCCAGGAGCTAGCTGCACCAATGTGTCGGAGGAAACACTGTTCAACTGACGACCGAAGTCAGCCTGCAGGCGCCCGGCCCGCCACAAGGAGTCACTAGACCGCGATGAGCCAAGTAAAGCCCCCCCGGCCAAACCCTTCCCTAACCCGGATGACACTGGGCCAATTGTGCGCCGCCCTATGAAACTCCTGGTCACAGCAGTGCCTTAGACCGCTGCGCCACTCGGGAGGCCATTAAATCATACGTTTTTAATAATAATTTGTGTATCACTCCCTTATAATGAATAGCCCTAAAGTAATCATTCAAAACATTTCTAATAGTGAATTGCTGAAATGTTGTTTCCTGAAATACAACTGAAGTATTTCTTATTGCCACCAATGCAGATGTCAAACATCGTTCCAGACCACATGGGGGCGGCATATACCATTCTATGAGGTAAATCATAGCGCTTTAGTATATTTGGGGCCTACAGGTGGCCTTAGCTTCATCAGACAACGATGGCCTAGATTCAATCAGATTAGCGTTAACCTGCCATAACCGAAAATTGCATAGCATATTATAGTTTTTTGTTTAGGCAATGTCGGAGCTGTAACTACGTTGGAGCTGTCAAATCGGTGAGCAGCTGCTCTTGTGGTTATTGTCACGAAGCCACGCCCTTCCCACCCGCGTTAGAAGTTTACAAAGAGAAAGTGTAGGCTACATAGAAATAATGACACTCACCTTGAAAATAATTAAACAAAATAATAAGCATTTATGTCAGCCTAAACAAAGGCTATGCAGTTGTCGGTTCCTGCGGGTTAAAGCTGATCTGATTCTAGACTTTAGCCCTTTATGTATGTCGTCCTGTATTGACAGTACCATTAGACCACTGAGCCATAGGGAGATGATAAGCTAATATTGACACCAGATGGAGAGTTCTCAAAGATGAAAAGATATGGACAGATGGGAAGGAAAAGGCAGACAGAGAGGGTGAAAGAAAGAAGGAGAGAGAGACAGAGTGTGTGTGGGCGCTGGGTAGAGTGCTTGTTAAAATGGTGGGTGCCTTGTTGCTATAGCAGCCACAATGTTCCCCTTCAACCTGTTCAGGGGATAAACAGAAAGGGAGAGAAAGAAAAAAGAAAACAGTAGATTGATGGGGGAATGATGGTTATGACGACGACGACAGTGATGATTACGGCGAGGAAATGAGAAGAAGGAAAGGGTTCAGGAGGAAGAGGAGGATGGAGATGAAGAAGATGCAGTTGCCAAGACGACTGTACCTTCAACACAGTTGGTGGAGAAGAAAGCGACGTTGCGGGTCTCCAGGGGGTTGTCATGGGTACAGTCAGGTGACCTGCTCTGGGGTTCTGATTCGCCAGTCAGGGAGGAGTTATCCACCTATAGGAAAATGACAAAATCCAGGGAACTTGTTTACAATTTAAAAAAACTTGTATGTAAAATGTGTAGTTGTGGGGGCGTGTGCTATATTTTAATGTGAGCTATGTGTGTGTGTGGGAGGGGTTAGGCTATTTTAGGCTTAGGGGTTAGGTTTACAATCAGGGTTAGGGTTAGAATTAGGGTCAGGGGTTAGGGTTAGGGTACGGGTTAGGTTTATGGTTAGGGAAAATAGGATTTTTTATGGAAATCAGTTTTAGGTCGATAGTAAAACATATGCTGTGTGTGTGTTAGTGTGTGTGGGTGTGTGTGTGTGTGTGTGTGTTTACCTTGCAGCCGTGAGCAGAGACGATCCTGAGGTCGGCGGGGATCCTGTCTCCTCCCTTCACCTCCACCAGGTCTCCACCCACCACCTCCTCAGCATTGATCTGCATCTTCTCACCCTCACGGATCACCAGCGCTTGCTGTGGACAGAGGTACCCCAATGGTGAAGTAGGAACCATAAACCAACCATTAACTGGCTATAAATACAGGTGTAACACTGGAGTAACAGTAAAACCAACGGTCACCAGCAACCACAGACTGATCATAGACAAACGACATACTATCACTGACCATAAACTAACCAGTAATGATGGGTTATTATGTTATAACTATGTAATTGCATAGATATTGGCAGATAAATAATAGACTGTAAAGTAACCGACTAACCATTGACACTGACTACAGATGGACTGTGGATAGAAAATATGGGCTGTATGTATGGACTACATTCAGACTGAACATATGAGACACTGTCTGAGTGGCTACTAACTCACCACTGAATGACAATATGCATCATATTAGCTCACAAAGATGTAGAATAGACTAACCACTAACTGACCATGGTTACAATGGCCACAACAATGTCGGCTATGTGTGTTTTGAGGGGGGAACATCTGGATTAGGGTCACAGGTTATTTTGAGTCACTGCCACAACTACCCCACCCATAGTCATCTAGAAAAACAAGTTAGGATTAAGATTTGTAAAACACTTATGATGGGACTAATAGGATTGGAATTAGGATTACAGACACTGAGCCCTATGGTCAGGGCCGCGGGACAATTTTTTCTTGAGCGGATGGTCAGGGGGATGGAACATAATTACAAATAATTTGTAGACTGCAAATTGACTGCAAGAAGCCCAAACAGATATAACGTTTGACTAAAACCGAATCATTTCAAACCTTGCTTACATTTATATATACGATCAAATATATCTCTACATTACCTGTGGGAATACATTGGAACAGATTTCCATAATTAAAATCACTTGGAGCTGATTTTGCTGGTGTTTTTACAGTCTTTTATTTCCAACAATAATAAATTGTTGGCGGCCCGTGGGCCGAATGGCCGCCAGTTGGGGAACCCTGCTATAAGTGGTGGTATTGTAGGAGACAAGCGGATAGGGTGGTAAGGAGATCAAAGAAGAGCAGTGCTTGACTTGGGCAGGAGCTCACCAGAGCTGAGTACTGGCACCTCAAATGTTCTACTGCTTGAGCTCCTGTTCCTCTTATAGAATATTAGCTCAAAAATATTGTAGAGCTCCTGCACCTAAATATAAACAGTACCAGCACCCAAAATGTGTACTGTAACCTATTTCAGTCCTTGTCAAGCACTGAAGAAGAGGTTTGTTTACCTGGGGCACCATGTTCTTGAAGGACTCCATGATTTTGGAGCTCTTGGCCTCCTGGAAGTAGGAGAAACAGCCGGTGATGATGACCACAGCCGAGAGAACGATACCCAGGTACAACTGGAGAGAGAGAACCCAGCAAACAATGTAAAAAACAAACAGTATTGGAACATTTTATCCAGACGTTCTTATAACCATTATGTCCTTCTACTAATATTTATCAAATAAAATTTTCCCAGGACATTTTAAAAGCATTCATGGGGTGTTGACATGCTATGTTAGTTGAAAACCAAATTGGGACTCTATTCGAACGTTACCTAACGTTGTAGGAACATTCACTGTTTTCTGGGAAAGAACAATTGAACTTATTTGTTTGATAGTGTTATTATGGTGCCTAGCTTTTTAATTCATTTAGGGTTGGTTAAAGCATATAGCTGGATCTAAAATACCACATGCCATGCAGGGTTGGGGTCAATTCAGAAATGAATTGAGAATGGCTAATGAATTCCAATTCAGTTCTTGAATTTGAATTGAAATAGTACACGGGATGCAGAATTATTTGAATTTGACTTTGAATTAATGGAAATATATAGGATAGGAAATAAATAATTGAGAAATTCAATGAAATTCGTTGAAATTCAAATGCCTCTTTGTATTACCCAGGTACAACTGGAGAGAGAGAGCAAGGAGAGAGAGACATAAATATTATTTAACCATTTATCATTTTAGATGGTGTCTATATTTCCCATTCATTTGAGGTTGGTTGAGGCATATAGCTGGATCTAAAAAACACATGGGAAATTGACTCATATCAACACTAGACACTTAATTGAGTTTCCCAAATCTTTTAGTGCCAAGTAGGAATCAGCCACAACCCCACAAGTTGAATCCTAATGCTCCATTTTGGAAACACTACATTAAGCTGAACCAAAAAGGACATGTATACCCTTGCATCCCTTTATCCCCTGCCAAGTGACGATGGTGGCCATTTTGTGTGGGTCTGTCACTCACATTGTCTCCGGCGGGCTCATCCTCGGTGGCGGCCTGGATGGCGTAGGCCAGGAAACAGAGGATGGCGCCAGTCCACAGCAGGATGGAGAAGCCACCGAACAGCTGGCGACAGAACTTGACCCACTCTGGGGTGGTGGGGGGAGGCGTGAGGGCGTTGGGGCCATCTCGAGCCAGGTACTCAGCAGCCTTAGCATTGGTCAGACCCTGAGGAGGGGGCGAGAAAGGGCGGAGAGGGAGAGGGGAAGGAGAGGGATTGCTGTTAAAAGGGTATAACCTTGGGCATCATTTGTGGTTGTTGGCTAGCTAGATATTTTGTGTGATAACTGATATTACCATTAAGGTTATAATGTATTTAATTTTAAAAGCCCCAACTCAGGTTTTGAGAAAACTCTTGAGGTGATGAACTTACCTGGACTATATCAGTAGCATACTTCTGGCATACCTCCTCGATGGACATCTTGTGTTCCGTCTAAAAGAGAAAAAGTTAAAAACCTTGAATAAATCTATAGTTTTAACTAAATATTTGCAAATACATTTATGTCATTTAGCAGACGCTCTTATCCAGAGCGACTTACAGTTAGTGAGTGCATACATTATTTTTTTATTTTTTTCATACCCCCCGTGGGAATCGAACCCACAACCCTGGCGTTGCAAACGCCATGCTCTACCAACTGAGCTACATCCCTGCCGGCCATTCCCTCCCCTACCCTGGACGACGCTGGGCCAATTGTGCGCCGCCCCACGGGTCTCCCGGTCGCGGCCGGCTACGACAGAGCCTGGATTCGAACAAGGATCTCTAGTGGCACAGCTAGCACTGCGATGCAGTGCCTTAGACCACTGTGCCACTCCGGAGGCTAGTTCGAATCCAGGCTCTGTCGTAGCCGGCCGCGACCGGGAGACCCGTGGGGCGGCGCACAATTGGCCCAGCGTCGTTCAGGGTAGGGGAGGGAATGGCCAATTAGATTGTGAATAGCGCTTGAGACATTTTCCGGCTGTGTTTCAGAGGGATATTCATATTCTCATGGTTTGGACGTATGCCTCGTAACAGAGTAAATCCTCCTTAGTTTACATTGGCATTGCCTCTAACCACAAACTACTATTCATAAAAAAAATAATCCTTTGTTTGACACCCATGAGATTTGCTTACTGCCAACAATAAAATAGATTTTTGTAGGAATACAGGCTGCCAAAATCAATTTTCCAATAATCTGAGAAGTCATCTTTTTAAAACTTTTTTGTTGTCCCAAACAGAATTTACAAAGAAACACACTGGTATAGACTGGGAACACACTGGTTGAATCAACATTGATTCCACGTAATGTCAATGAAATTACGTTGAACCAACGTGGAATAGACATTGAATTGACGTCTGTGCCCAGTGGGTGCTCTTTAGAATAGTGTTTCTCAACCTTTTATTATACCAGGGTCCGGCAAGTTATGGTCCTTCCTCCTTAGATTAAAACGAGCACTTTAAATTGTACTAAATTGGTCTCAGCTAACCATCTGAGGGACCAGTTAGCAACATCCCAGGGACCAGTGCCGGTCCCAGGACTGGAGGTTGCAGGACACACTGCTGTAGGGCATGGTGCACTGACAAGAAACAGGAAGTAGGAATTATGCACTACATACCAAGGGAACTTCCTTCTTCAGTTCATCCATGTCCTTGGTCTTCTTGTCCGCCTTGGAGTCCGCCTTCTTGGGGGACTTCTTCTCATCCTTCTCCGTCGTGGTGGCCACACAGTAGCTGTCTGACCGTCCATACTGCAAGACAAACACAGAGAGTCTCAGAAAACAGATCCATGACCAGTCAATATTTTACATAGAAAAAGGTTGGGTTAATACACAGTGTGGTCAGCTTATCCTAAATCCACAATTGTTGGCTTTGAAAGCGTCAGTGCTGCCCTAGTAACTTTGAGTATTGCAGTGAATTGGGCTTCCTGGTGCCAGCTGGTATCCTACCTGCACCACAAGCTAAGCCACAACTCCATAGGAATTCATGAACTCAGATAATATCACTGTTAGCTACTTGAGGGTACGCCACAATCAAACATGAAAACAGAGAATGAAGTGCAAGGCTGCCATAATTATATGGTTGGGCAAAGCTCCCTAAATATTTTGCACTCTAACTTTGTATATTCCACATGGACATGATCAAAATGACAACAGCCAGGATATGTATATCATGGTCCAGAATGTAAGGTTTTTCTAATCAGGACCTATTGGTTATGGTTTAAAACCAGGCTACTTTACTAGGTGTCTCCTATAGGTAGTCCGCTCTCCAAATTCCCACCATTTGAGAGTGTTTTGTTTCCCCATTTAATGTTTCAAATGCATTTCTGTCATTTTGACATGGTATGGTCCAAGGAGTGACCAAGTGTACAGTATTTACAGTAAACGCCCACTTGGGGATTTTCTTCTCAGATCGTTTTTTGTATCTCAACAGGAAGGCTGCATTCGAGCCAGGTAGACCCCACCTGTGTCTTTTATGGTAAAGACATTTTTTTAAAAATCTGATTGAAGGCTTTTTCTTTTAAATATTGAAGTTTGAAGTCTGAACTTTGTAAATATGTACAGTGATAAACATCGCTTCGGAACATTAACTCCATTTTGTAAATAAATCTAACCACCTCTACCCGCCTGCCTCCTGCTGCTTACCCTTAAGACTGCTACAAGGTCTCTATTTTACAGTCAGTGATAGGTCATAATGTAAAGGCACCCAAACATGCTTTCTTCCTCTACCATTCCCTCTCTCAATTACTCCCTCCACACCCAACCTCTCTTTCACTCTTTCTGTCTCTCCTTTCATCTCTCTCTCCCAAACTCTCTTTACATTTCTCCCTCTTTCTCTTGTCATGGACAATACAAGCCTTGTGAGAGTACACTGCCACAGTGAGAGGGACCTCACATGGTCGTTTCTATGAAAAGCGCATGACAGTGGCCCTGTGGCCCCAGGTGCCGTGATGGTCAGAGAGACTACAGACCACAGCAAGTCCTGAGAACGTCCTTAGAGGAGAAATGGTCCATGATACTAAATGTGTTATATTATGTGCCATATATGTGCCTGTATGTGTTTCTATGCCTGTTATACAGTATGTCTATATACACTGAGTATACAAAACATTAGGAACACCTGCTCTTTCCATGACATAGACTGACCAGGTGAAAGTTATGATCCCATATTGATGTCACTTGTTAAATCCACTTCAATCAGTGTAGATGAAGGGGAGAATGATTTTTAAGCCTTGAGACAATTGAGACATGGATTGTGTATGTGTCACAGGAGGTTGGTGGCACCTTAATTGGGGAGAATGGGCTCGTGTTAATGGCTGGTGCGGAATAAGTGGAATGGTATCTAATACATCAAACGCATGGTTTTCACGCTCAACAGTTTCCTGTATGTATCAAGATATTACTTGTTAGATATTACTTGTTAGATATTACTGCACTGTCAGAGCTAGAAGCACAAGCATTTCGCTACACCCGCAATAACATCTGCTAAACACGTGTATATGACAAATAAAATTGGATTGGATTGGATTTGAATGGTCCACCACCCAATGGACATCCAGCCAATTTGACACAACTGTGGGAAGCAGTGGAGTCAGTGGAGGCTCCTCAGAGGAGGAAGGGGAGGACCATCCTCGTCAGTGAAATGGTAAAACATTGAAAAAGTTATCCTTTTTAGATAAAACTATACTAAAATATAATCACATCACCAAATAATTTATTAAAACACAAGAGTGCAAAGAAGGTCTACAGTAGCCTCAACAGCACTCTGTAGGGTAGCACCATGGTGTAGCCGGAGGATAGCTAGCTTCCGTCCTCCTCTGGGTACATTGACTTTAATACAAAACCTAGGAGGCTCCTGGTTCTCACCCCCTTCCATAGACTTACACAGTAATTATGACAACTTCCGGAGGGTGTTCTCCAACCTATCAGAGCTCTTGCAGCATGAACTGTCCCCTGTAGCTCAGTTGGTAGAGCATGGCGCTTGCAACGCCAGGGTTGTGGGTTCGTTTCCCACGGGGGGCCAGTATGAAAATGTATGCACTCACTAACTGTAAGTCGCTCTGGATAAGAGCGTCTGCTAAATGACTAAAAATTTAAATGTAACTGACATGTTGTCCACCCAATCAAAGGATCAGAGAATTAATCTAGTACTGAAAGCATAAATTACAGCTAGCTAGCGCTGCAGTGCATAAAATGTGGTGAGTAGTTGACTCAAAGAGAGAGAAAGACAATAGTTGAACAGTTTTGAACAAATTCATTTCTTCCAAAATGAAGGAAAAGCAAGAGAGAAATATATAGAGAGAAAGATTGTCTTTTTTTTCACTTTCAGTTCACTTACTTAGCTAACAAATGCAGCTAGCTAGTTTAGCCTACTGAAACACCCTGCTCAAACAGAGGGATGCTATGTTAGCTAGCTGGCTATGACTATCCAACACAACACTGGAACTCTTCCAAGTCAATTTAAGCTTTTGGTTTTACAAATGTATTGCCACCGGGGCCCGCCGGTGTAACTGCTTACTGACTGTACACTGTAACGTTACTGCATGATTGTTGCGGGTTTACTAACGCGTTAGTTCTATTGTTTTTGCTGACTATGACGTTACTTTAGCTAATATGGTGACAACGATGTAGGCTGTGTGTAGCAGTTTGGCTTGGAAAGGTTATTTTGCGTGGTCACATACAGCTGATGTGTTGTGCATTGAAGTCCAAAAGCGAAGGGAATAGGTGAGAGGAGGAGAGCGCATGGATGCGAGAAGGAACACAACATGGCTGTGTGTCTATGCACGATCAGGGGTGTATTCATTCCGCCTAGTCTGTTGAAATAAGTTACTTAAACAGAAGCAAACGGAACAAAACGGGGATAAACATACTTGAATTTGTCCATTAGAAACTCTCATTTGCAATGGTTGGACTAATGATTACATCCTATATCAGCTAGATACAGGCAAGAGTGTGCAAGGCCGTATTGAATGTCACTGTCTGTCACCTAAAATGTGTCTCTCGGCCTGTGTGCACCTATGTTGTAAACTTTCATTCATAGGCTAGGTTGTAGCAACCTCATGATGGGTGTAGGGAAAATTTGAATATCATGTAGTAGCCGAAACCTATCACTGTAACATTGAACCGGGTGAATGGAATATGAATGACAGTCATCCAATATGCTGTAATAGAAATAAGGCCATGCTCATGACATAAGGCCATGCTCATGAAAAAAAGTCGTCCTCCCTCATATTAAACGGCACTGACCGCCACTGATTGGAGTCAACATTGGCCAGCATCCCTGTAGAACGCTTTCGACACCTTGTAGAGTCCATGACCCAACGAATTGAGGCTGTTCCGAGGGCAAAAGTGGGGGTGCAACTCAATATTAGGAAGATGTTCTTAATGTTTTGTATACTCAGTGTATGTGCCTGTGTTTACGGCCATAATACATACAAAAGGCAATTTATCGTCTGAACTTTAATCACAATAAGACAGTAAGATACACTATGAGCGGACTTGGTTTGGGTTTGGTTACTGATTCATTCATGTTGTATCCATCAAGGTAATCACATTTCACGGTTGAAATACAGTCTTCATCGCTTGATCAAAGACTAGACATTGCCACTGGGAGAGATTCAAAGAGACATTGGGAGAGATTCAAAAGCATGCAGATAGGGGTACAGAACCTGTCCTATGAGAACTCCAAATCATTGTATTAGAGCTCAAATCAAGCAGCCTGAGACGTTACAAGATATGCATCACAGGAGCCTTTGGTGGTTCATCTTCCTACTGCATCCTAAGTTTACAACGTAGGTGCACACAGGTCGAGAGACAAATTTGGACAGACAGTGACATTCAATACCGCCTTGCACACTCTTGCCTGCATCTAGCTGATATAGGGTGTAATCATTAGTCCAACAGTTGCAAATTAGAGTTTCTATTGGATAAATTCAGGCATGTTTATCTCCGTTTTGTTCCGTTTAAGAAACGTTTTTCAACAGAATCGGAAAATGAATACACCACTGATCACGCGTAAACACAGTACACTTTCATTGCAGCCACGTTGTATTCCTTCTCACATCTATGCGCTCTCTTCCTCTCACCTGTTAGAATGACCCTTGTGGACTTCAATGCACAACACATCAGCTGTATGTGATCAAGCGAAAAAAACATTCCAAGCCAAACCGCTCCACACAGCCTACATTGTTGTCACCATATTAGCTAAAGTAACGTCATAGTCAGCATAGCTAATAGAACTAACGCGTTAGTAAATCCTCTACAATCACTAACTGGACCAATAAAGCTAGCTAGCTAGCTAGCGGGTAGCTACTGGTAACTATTAGCAACTGTGGATAGTTGTTTCCAATGTTATTTCACGCTTAAGAAAAAGTACCTGTAATTATGCCAGCTAGCTACCTACCATTCAGCTGTTTTTCTAACCTCATTATCTGAAGCGTTAACGTTAGGTAGTTAGTAGCTACTGTACTCGAAATGTAGCTACCTGAATAGCTAATTAAACAATAGCTGGAACGACCTAGCTTTAATATTTGTAGACGCGTTCTCTCCGTTGGGACAGATGCGAACTGGCTGAATCGATTCAGTGGCTAGCTTTGCACTTAACTGGCTAACAGTAGCTACTAAGGGTAAGTTATAACCTACATTTATTTTTGTTTTGTTTTTACATACTGGTAACCAGAGTCGTTCAAGGGAATTCGGGACATGGGTGACTAGTTAACGTTAGCTTGGCTCTCTGTGTGTTCGCGCCGTGG